AGCAGTCCCTTTTCTGAGTTTTCTTTTAGCACTCCTCTGTGATGGTGATTTCTATTGACCCAGCAAGATGCAAGGAAAGTAGTATCTAATCAGTGTAACTTCCCCTGACAAATGAGTCAAATACCAACATGAAGCCTTTTGAAGTTGGCAAAGGTGTTTAAAAATGACTCTTTTTAGACACTTTACTTCACGGGCTGCTGAACAAAAATGTCACATTTTAAAATGACTGCATTTTATGGAGTGGAGCCCCGTGCAGTACACCCTGGCCACTGAACAGGATCCCTAAAAGCTGCAGTGCTTTCACAGCTGATTTTTGCAGCTCACTGAGACATTTTCCTCTCCCACAGACCTGCTGAACCATCACATCCTGAAGTCAGCCATGTGTGCTGAGGCCATCATCGCTGGCCTGACCATGGAGACTCTGGAAGGAACCACCTTGGACGTGGGCTGCAGTGGGGAAGAGCTGACCCTCAACGGGAAGCCCATCATTGCCAACAAGGACATCCTGGCCACCAACGGCGTCGTGCATTTCGTCAACGAGCTGCTGATCCCAGACTCGGGTACTGGGGCCTCTCTGCATCCCCATTTCTGCTGCCTTTCTTCTGTCTATTCTGCCAAGGAAATGCTGGGTTTAGAGGGCATAGCAATGGGTGGATTGCCCTTAATGCAAGGTTACTATGTGTTGCTTTTCTTTTCAGCTAAGACTCTGTTTGAGTTGGCACAAGAATCTGAAGTTTCCAAGTCGACAGAGTTTTTCAGACAAGCTGGTCTCAGTTCTCATCTAACTGGCAGTGAGCGAGTGACCCTCCTTGCCCCAGTGAACGATGTGTTCAAAGGTAAGCCAGGGATTAAATCCCTTTCTTCCAAGTGCTTGGGCCACAGACCTCCTTCAAACAGTCTTCAACCAAGTTTCAGTGCACAAATACTCAAATCCTCTCTCAAATGCCACAGCCACAGGCAGTGGCATCTAGCTTTACAGTTTAAAACTGATGTGGGTAATACTCTGTATTTGAATGGTTTTTAGTGTCTCAATAGTAACATTAAGTGAATCACTGGTTCTTTTCACACTTTTTGCTGCAGATGGACTCCCAGTTATTGACAGCAACATGAGAAACCTGCTTCTGAACCACATTGTTAAAGACCAGCTCTCCTCTAAGTATCTGTATCATGGGCAGAAGCTGCAGACTCTGGGGGACAAGGAGCTCAGAGTGTTTGTGTACCGCAATGTGAGTCCTCCCAGTGTGTGCTCTGTGTGCCTGAGGGATGAGGGAGGTTCTGATCTCACAGCTGTCACATAAAGTGTTCATGAACATCATGGAAAGTACAAAAATCCCTCTTTGGAAGCAAATGCTAATAAAGTGGTTTTTTTTTTCTGTCATTGTGTCTGCAGAACCTTTGCATTGAAAACGCCTGCATTGCTGCCCATGACAAGAGGGGAAGGTTTGGGACCCTGTTCAGTGTGGACAAGATGTTGACTCCACCAACTGGCTCAGTGATGGATGTTCTCAAGGCAGACCATCGCTTCAGGTGACCTTTCTGCTCTTCCCAAGTGCTAGTTAGGAGAAGAAGAGCTGCCAAAGCAGTTTCTGTTTGTTATGGGTTGTAGCCATGATGATACAGATGTTTTTTTAACACAGAAAGAGCATCCAAAACCATGGTCTCCCTAAATTATAGAGAATGAAAGTTCAAATAACCCTCAATGAATTGTGAGCCAAGATTGTGTGGTTCCCTTAGCACAGTAAGAAGCTGGCTTTGAATCCATCTCTGCCCATCAGAGCCCCTGTGGCCAGATCTCTCTATCTCCAGTTGGTCCCCAAGGAGTCAGCACTCAGATGTTCTGGTCAGACCTCACAGGCTCATTTCCCAATCTAAACCTAATCAACATTTTGATTAATTGATTCGCTGGATCCCAGCAGGATTTCGCCATTGTAACCCCCCAGCTCTCTCAGAGCAGAGTGTGCAACTGCTCAAAGAGCACCAAAGGAGTGTTTGCAGTGAAGCCTTTGCTGTGTGTTTGTTTTGCAGCACCCTGGTGGCTGCAATCCAGTCTGCAGGGCTGACAGAGAACCTCAACAGGCCGGGGACCTTCACGGTGTTCGCTCCGACGAACGAAGCTTTCCGAGCCCTGCCCCAGGGGGAGCTCAACAAACTCATGGGTGAGCATTTGGAGGGCATTCAGGTGAACTGCTGCTCTCACCTCTTGGTGTGGTATGGGCAGGAATGGCCAGATATCTCTGCTGGATCTCATTCTTTGACCCTGTCTGTTGGAAGGGTGAGCTTCCTGCACAGCCAATTTGGAGAAGCAAAAAGCTGAGGATGCAGAGAGTGACACTGAATTCCCAAAGTGGGGTTTATACTGCCTGTGTTCTTGGAAGATGTGTTTGTAGTTTGTGCCACAAACTCACTCTGACTTTAATCTGGCTGTGCTGGTGCTGTAAGCAAGATGACTCCCAGGTGTTTCTAAAGGAACCAGTGAGGTCTCTGCTTTTCTCGAGGCTGAGAGAAGTGAGAATTTCTTCTCAACCATGGGTGTCTGAAGTAAATTTTGCAAAGAGAAGACAGTGGTCCATGCACAGCCTCAAGTTACACTGTATGACATTTAAGTAGCAAAAGGCTTGTTTCTCCTTTTATTTATACATAGACAAAGCAGGAGGTTCAGTTTGATCCTGGGAAGACAACAAATATTCCAGCCTAGTTCAGGTTAAGACCAGCCTCCTGAAAAGCACAGGCACACAGGCTGGGTGTGGAAAACAGCACAGGAATGTTTAATAATGCCCTCCTGGAAAAGCAGCACAATCTTTTATTTTCTTCATGTTCAAAACTGGCTGTGGTTGGAAACAACGTCAGGTATTTGAGAGTAATGTCTTCTGGTCATTAAACCCAACCAAACATTGACATCATAATTTGGGAAGCTTCTGCCCATGGTAGCTGGTTATCCTTTTAAGTGCAGGGACGAGGGACCTGTAATATCAGACTGCACATCCAGTCTAGCACTTAATAGATAAATATTTCAGAACTGTTTTGCAGCTCTGGTAAATGGCTGCAGGAATGAAGATTCCCAGATGTGGACACTTCAGATGTTCTTTTCTCACGCAAATATTTAGCTTATGCCTCTGATGTAGGAGTGAATCACACTGGGGAGGACGTGCAGCGTGAACTGTGGCCACCCTAAAAACCATCACGGAAAAAAGCTGAAATAAAAGCTTTGGAAGCATTGAAAGACAAGGGAGCTGAGGGAGCTGCTCTGGTTTTGTACATGGAGCCACCTTTTGCACTAGTGGGGCTTGCCAGGGACACTGCATCCTCTGAAGGAGAAGCAGGACAAGGGCTGCTGGCCCATATTCCTCTTCTGGAAAATAGATGGTGAAGGGGAAGCATCTTATCTTCCTCAAATCTGCTTCAAAGCATGACTAGATGAGTAGAGACTCAGTGGAGTGGGGATCAGGGCATCAATCCCTGAGCCAGTAGTGACAATTCTCCTGTACTTTTCCCCTTCCTACCCAGCTGTGAGAATTATTGCCAAGTGACACTGGCCTTGGTGACATTTGCAAATACCAGAGTGCTCCATCTGCTTCCTTATTTCACGTGGCTCTTTGCCCTGCCATCTCAGACTTCCTTGGGAAGTGAAAGCAGGAGCAGGTTCATGCTGTGCACAGTGAGAGAACGAGGGATGAAAACCCAAGAAACAGGAATTTCATGTTCTGGGCGGGTTTGGTAGGTACTGAGGTGGGACACTGGAAGAGCATCCTTTTGGACTTGCTGGGATCCTGACCTGCCCAGGCAGGAATGCCCTCAATGTCCTAAGCAGCTCCAACCTGGGTTTTATTTTGTTTTGGGTTTTTTTGGGGTGATGGTTTGTTTTGTTTGGTTTTTTTTTTCAATTTTACATTGTTTCTTTGCACTTTCAGGAAACGGTGGTATTTTCCACGTAACTCCATTCCAGCACATGAAATATGGGAAGCAAGTGCTGATGTTGTTTTCTCCTCCCCCAGGTAATGCCAAGGAACTTGCCAACATCCTCAAGTTCCACGTGGCCGACGAGATCCTGGTGAGCGGCGCCGTCAATGCCCTCGTGAGGCTCAAATCCATGCAGGGAGACAAACTGGAAGTCAGCATGGTGAGTTCTCTGGGATGGAGTTCTGTGCTCAGCAGGGCCATGAGTGTGTCTGTGTCTGTGTGGGAATCTCCCCTAAATGTGCTCACAGTCCCACCAAACAGAGTTTTCCGGGCTGCAGCAGAGGGACTGTTGCCATGTGTTCAATCCAACAAGCTGGAAGAATGAAATGTGGTTTGCTTCAGCTTTCCCCCCCAGAAGGCCAATTGTAAATGATTTCCAGGAGCTGTTATAAATGTAACCCTGAGTCATGGGGGAAAAAGCATAAATAAACGAAATGAATAGCTTGTTCAGCTAACACATCTCTTTTTGTGTAACCAAAATGATCTCTGCATGGGCTCCCCTAAAGCAGCAGGATTTATTTAGATATATAATTTCGTTTCACAAACTCTGCGCTGCATTAAGAGATCGTAGGATCCTCTATTGAGGAAAAAGAAAAAACATTTCAGAAAATAAATTACCACGCATAAGAAAATGCAGGACAAAAATGGAAGGAACAGTGTTTGCAAGTGCATTGAGTTGGCCAAAGTGCATGACAGACTCTTCCCCTGTCCAGTCCTGCTCTGCCCTCTCCTGATCCCATCTCCACAGCCATCCCCCTTGGCACGAGTGGCAGTGCCTGCTGCCACCAGGTTGCTGGTGGATGTGCTCTGCTGCCACGGGACAGCATTCCCAGCCAGAGCACTGAGAGAGCCTAAAGCCTGCCAGCCATCCCAGGGCAGACTGCTCAGGCTGTAATTTGTTTTTTTATCCTCCTTAATGGGCAAGAGGAATGAAAAGGCCTTCAGCCATCCAGTGAAGGAATGAATGCAAAGTGAGGGCTTTTTTAAACGACATCGGAAATAACAAAAAGTTTCTCGTTTTCTTTTTTTTATCTTTTCTTTCCCTGAACAGAAAAACAACGTGATACACATCAACAAGGAGCCCGTCGCTGAGAGCGATATCATGGCCACAAACGGGGTGATTTATGCCCTGAACTCTGTCCTACAGCCACAGGGTAGGTGAGAAACATCTGGGCCACCCTGTGACAGCAAAGCTGCTTCGGGAGGGGGTGGGGACACGTGGCAATGGCTTGGGTTTGGTGAGGAGGGTTGGGCTGCTGTGGGATTTCCACCAGCAAATAGGGGAAGGAAGCAGCCTGAGTGCTTCGGGTGCTTCAGTGCTCTCCGTGTCCCACCCTCAGCTTCAAGGCCCCAGGAAAGAGGGGACGAGCCTGCAGACCCCGCACTGGAAATCTTCAAACAGGCGTCTGCGCTATCCAAGGTAAAAAAAACTCTCACTGAAATCACACTGGGGTAACAGTGATGGCAAGATAACATCTCATTCACATGCTGACTTCCAAAATTGCCTGAAATTGCCATTTCAGGCAATGATCCATCCTCTCTCCTTGCATGATTTAATTATATAAGAAATAATACATTTGTCAACACGAAGCCTCAGTTTGCAGCAGGCAACCTTGGCATGGTGTTATATGTGTCAGCTTCCAGAATGAAGCTGTCATTCCAGAATGACAAAATCCATAGATTTTGGTGACTACTGACTATGTCAATAAATATATTGACATAATAGTGAATTATAGTCATAACAGTCATAACAGTCAATAGTCATAACAGTCAATAGTCATAATAGTCAATATATTGACATAAGTCAATATATTTTTATAATATATTTGATATATTTAATATATTGTATAAATACATAAACAACACATTCAACTATATATTTCTATTATTACATTACATTAGTTATAATATAAATGAATATGTAATATATTTTTATAAGTTGAATGTATTTTATATAACAGACTTAATATATAATTATAGGTGTATGTATATATGTATATGTATATTTATACATATATACACATATTTTTATATATACATATATATTTATATATACATACATATATTTATATATATATACATATATACACATATATAATTGACTATAAATAGTCAAATATATTGACATGCTAACTGCTCTTATGTCTGTCAGGGATCTGTTGTATTTATTATCTGATCTATTCCACGCAGGTTTCTCAGAGGAATCCTCGACTAGGTAAAAAACCAACTTCTCCACCTCGTTTTTAATTTCCATTGTATGTCCCTGTCCCTCAAAGAGGTTTATTCTGTTGTCTTGCCCTAAGCATGGCAGGGAGGGGAGGGCACAGGGAGGTGCTTTGTGTCTGTGCCACCCAACCTGCCCCTTCCCTTGGCAGCTCCCGTCTACTCCCGGCTACTGGCGAGGATGAAGGAGAACTCGGGGGGGGTCTGAGCCACGTCGTGAGCACCCACACATCAGGGCCTGCACCCCCCCAGCTCTGGCTGACAGCTAAAGAGAAGGACAGGATCGTTTTCAAAAACCAAATATCACCCTTAAGTTTATTTTTGTCTCCAGCGAAATGGATAGGAAAAGTGGAAAGCCATATATATATATGTATATATATTTTAAGACCGTTTTTTTATTTGGTTTTAACTTCAAAGTTCCCAGACTGAGGAAATGTTTTGGGGTTTTTAATTTCTGGGGGTTTTGTTGGGGGTTTTTGTTTGTTTTGTTTTGTTTTTTTTAATAAAAACTATTCACTACTTTGCAATTTTAAACATACCCAGTTTTGGGCTTGTTAAGTACATCCAAGGGCAGGTGCCTTTTTTTTTTTTAAACAAGCATGTGCTTCCTTGTTCCCTTGGGTTTTAAAAGTCTTCCATGAAATTCTGAACTGAAGGCTTTTAACAAAAGCCTCTCTATGGACAATGAGAAAATTGCATAGCTATAAACTATGGTTTGAAACATTCTCTTTTTTTAAACCTTTTTTTTTAAAGCCTCTGGGTAATAACTGTGCTGCCTTTTGTTCACGAGATTGAAATGAGAGTTCTCCCTGGCTGAAGCCTTCCAGTAAATGGTTCGTTTTTGATAATGGTTGTTTTTTAATAAAAATTAAAAATAAAATCAAAAATATAAATACGAGAAGCGATGACAATGCTTGCTTGGTTTTTTGGTTGGTTTGAGTTGCCTTTTGGCATCGTTTGCCCTCCTGAGCACGGGGAAGGAGGGGGGGTCACATTTGGCTGGGTCTATGTTAACAGGTTAAATAGTTACTGGGGTGGAATGGCAAAGCATTTCTCCCCTCTGATCCCGGCCTGGCATCATTTTCTGATGGTGCTTTCGTGAGCAGTCACTGTCACGCAATTCCAGGAGCACAGGGCAGCCACCCTCCCACTGCACATCCCTCCTGCTGCATCCTCAGCCACCTCCCCTGGCAGCTGGAGCTCAGCTCTCCATTCCGTGGTGCCAACAGCACTAACTCACCCACCAGGGCTTTATATCCCCTCCCAGTTAGTTATCACCTCGGTGAAACCCAGGATTGTGAGGCAAAAAACAAGAAAGAGAGTATCAGGTGCAGAATACAAAAAACCCCCAGATTGTTTTGGCTGCTCTGGCTGAGGAACACCCTGATAGTTTTCCTTCTATTAAAAGCCCAAACTGAAATCCCACACGCTCAGAGCCATCTGCATAACTCAAATGTGTGAAAAATAACCAAGCCCTTCTTTTATTTCCCTTCTTCATCTTCCCATCTCATTTTTCTTTACTATTTTTCTGGCATGATGTGGTCCTGGTGTTAAAGGCTGATGGGGAACCCTTGGAGCCCCCTATTCCCAAGGCAGATGAGTCCTATCAGGGGACTGAATTCTGGGGGAGGCTCAGCTTTTTGCCATTAGGGTCATTAAATATTCTTCCTTCAAAAGTCTGAGAGAGAGGGAAAGCTGCCTCACCTCTGGCTCTGTTACAGCACATACAATTGCAAGGGCTTTTTTTTTTGCTCTGCTTTGGTTTTTTTTTTGTTTGTTTGATTTTTTCCTCCTTGAAGCTTCATAATTAAGGGATATAAAGTCCTTTGCAACCTGGAAAGGTGGAAAGTAGATCTGCTTCTCATCTCGGTGAGTGCCCCTTGCTTGTACTTTCTTGATGCCTGGCCTGGTGACCAATTAATTGTTTCATGGCAAAATGAAGCCGCTGGAGTCGATGGGAGCAGGGAAAACTTTGCTTAGATGAGTTTAATAACTACAAGAAGTCCCATCTGCTGAGACAGGAGTTTTCATCTGGGAGTACAGCCTTGGCTTCCCACCCTGTGGTTTCTGGGCAGGCATCAAGACTGGTGGTGATGATCTCCTTTGTGTTTTGCTAGGCAGGGTTACTGGGTTTATGAGTCCCTCTGGAGTTCCTAGTAGCTAGAGGTGTGTTAACTTTGCAAACCAATTCCCTTTTTGCTCTCTCCCATTGCTTTTCTGGCTGGTTCTCTGGCAGTGCTCCTTCCCTTACTCTTCCTGCTGCTGCTCCATCCTCTGAGCTGCTGTGGGGTGCCAGCAGCAGCTCCCCACGGGGCTGTGGGTGCAGGGCTGCTGTCCCTGCTGTGTTGACTCTGTAATTTCCCTGGGATCCCACATCCTGGGAAGCCATCCCAGGGTGCCTTCCCACAGGCTCTCTGCTTGGAACCCCCCTGGTTTTTGGTGTTTCCAGATGATAGTTCATGTTGGTTGAAACTCTTGAGATTACATGATTCCCTCCCTTTCCCTGCTCTGAGTTGGTTTCTCATCCCCCTGTGCTCAGGGAGGGATACCCAGCTGGATCAGTGGTTGAGCTGCTTGAGTTGATCAGCAGGGACTGCATCCCCTACTTTGACTCAGTGACCCTTTGGGGACGTTTTTCCCCATGGATGTTCATCCATGAGCCTTATCCTGTGAAGTGAGGGTGGGTGCTGGCAGCCCTCCCAGCAAGGGGAGTCAGATGTTAATGCTTCAGCCCTCAAGGGGTGCACAGGGATGAAGCAAGAGAGCAGCTGGAAGATAGGGAAATGAGGAGTGCTGAAATGATGGCAACAAAAACTTTTTTGTCATTTTCTAAAGAAATATTTTTAATATTTTTTTTTTTTATAATGTGACAAAAGGTGGAAGTGAAAGTAAGAAGGAAGCTTCTGGTGCTGAGGCAAAACATAACTCCCCTGGGGAAGTGCTGGCTGAGGGGCACAGAGCTCCCATGGGTGTGGGAACCTGAGGGATGTCCCAGCCAAGGGCTGTGGTGGGATGGAGGACTGGGAGATCCCCTGTGTACCAATCCCATCCCACCCCAGAGCTGCAGGAGTCCAGACAGAGGCACTCGGGGAAGGGAAGAAGCAAAGCCTGATTTAGGAACTGCTGAGGGAGGGTCTGGGCAGCTGCAGAGTCCCTGGGGCAGCCTTGGGATGGGCAGCATTTAGGATGAGCCTTCCTGTGGCAAACAGCACTGGGGTGCTCAGCACACAGCCCTGTGGCACCAGGGGGTTTGGGTGTCTCATGTTGTCAGAGTATTTCCACCTGAAACCCAGAGTGGGGGTGAATGTCACCACGAGCCTGCACCAGGACTGGGGCAAAAGGAGCTGAGCTGAGAGCAGATAAGAGCCTTTTGGAGGAGAATCTTGCTTTTTCCCTCCTTTGAAGTCAAGAGTGTTTTTCTAATGAAAATTTGCAGGGATCTGCAGCTGCCCTTGTTTACTTTTTTTTTAGAATAATGATCCCTTCCCTCGCAGTGGCTCTGGTTCAGCAAAATAATTAAATGTATGCAGAAATCCACTGAGGAAAAGTACAGCTTTTAAGTGTGTGCTCTAAGTCCTGAAATGATGCCATCATGTCTGGGCTGCTGCTTGTGAGTCTCTTCTGTGCCTGTGGAGCCCCAGTGCTCCCCGGGGCTGGAGCAGGGAACAGAAAGTGGTGCCTCTGAAGGGCTGGAAAAGCAGATGCTGAATGTGAAATTCTGTGTTTCGGGAAGCCTCACGTGGTGGTTTTGCTTATTTACATCTTGAGACATGAAGCAGAGTTGCTTTTCTTCTAGAAGGTTCTTTTCCTTTCTGGTGGCCTTCTGCAGAGATATTTAAAGCAAGAGGAAAAGCAGGGCTGAGCTTTGCCCTGGGAGAGATCTCACATGAAGTGCTGGGGTGGAAAACACGTGCTCTTCCAATGCCATGGGAACCTTGGAGCACTGTTTGCTCGGCTTAGGAGGGAGGTTTGGAGCTGAGCTGCCCCGAGTGCTGGGGTGTGGGAGGGTCAGGCTGGGAGGTGGGTGATGGCAGCTCCCTGTGCCTCGGGACGTGAGGGGTGAAAAGGCAAAAGCCTTTGCCCCTGTCAAAGGCCAGGCTTGAGTGGAGCCAAGGCATCTCAGCCAGATGTGCTGCAGAAGGATGACCCCTGGAAGGGGTCACCTGGACACAGGGGTGAAGCCACCCACGTGCCATGGTTGGAAAACTGCACTGACTCCCTGCTTTTCTGTTGCAGGCAAATTCTTGTTTGTACACGTGATTTATTGGGAAGTTGTTGCACTGTTAGCTGGGGTCCCAGGAGGAGCAAAACCCAAAACTAAGGGTAGTATTAGTGTTGGTGAAAGACAGGCTTGAAGGAGCAGCTGGGATCAGAGGCATTCAGCTGTGGCTCAGGCAACTCTTGAATTATTATTTTTATTTGTTTTGACTCCTTTACTGTGACATATTTGAGATACTTCGTAGAAATCCGTAACTTTTCCAAAGAAAAATATTTAAAGGGGACTTTCTTTCCAACAACAAATGATGCCTCATTGTTTTGCAATACTTCCATGATCAAACACTTCGCAAAAGCTCAGCCCATTTCCCAGGAGGGGTCAGGGGTGCAGGAGCAGAGGGGCAGCAGTGCCTGGTGTGCCATGCAGCACACTGTGAGGGCATCCTCCTGCTAAGGCAGAATATCCCTCCTAAGGATTTGTTTTCATCTCCTGGAAAGGAAGGTGGCAGGAAGGGTTGGTTTGTTGGGTGCTACCATTCATGATACACTGAAAAATTCTTTCCGGGATGCCCAGACACATCTGTCCTGCTGCACTCTACCCTTGAATTTCCTGCAGGTTTCCTTGGAGTTTGGCTGTTTCTTCAGCTTTTGACTTGCCACCTGTCTCTTCTTTCTCTGTTCAGTCTTTCCCACAGGACTTGATCTGACTTCTGAACTCGCACCTTCATTTCTTTCACATGCAGCTTGTGCATCAAGCCCTTATTAGCTGGCAAATGCAAAACTCATTACATTTTAATTGTTACTTCTGGGAGAAGAATCAACATATCCTGTTTGGAAAATAATAGTGCAGAAGCTGGAAGCCTTCTCAGGGCTTTTGTTGAATTTCTAGTTTTGCAGAAGCAGGAGGATGAATTCCTGGAATTCAGGATTTCCACCAGTGCTGCTGTGTAGCTTTTCTAGCTCTCTGCCTTTGCTTCAAAGTTTGCAGTTGGGATAAAAGACCTTTCTCATGACCTTTAGGTGGAAATCCCAGATAATCCCCAAGTGTTACAATACTACCTTTGTCCACGCAGCACTTGGGAAGTTACCAACCTCCCTAAAGGAAGAGCCAAAGAAAGGTGAAGCATCCTGATGACCATGACAGTAGTCATGAAATTATAACTAAGGCTGTTCTAGTGTGAAGACATATCCATTTGCTATAAACTGTAGGCACCCTAATCCCTGTATATAGCACTGTGGGTGTTCTCCTGCCAGTGCTGTCAGTGCTGTTCATGGCTTTGGACAACACACAGCCTCCTGTGGAGCTGGAACCTCAAAGTTCAGGCTGTGAGTCTGGCTCCAAGACCAAGTCTGGTCCTACTCACAGCCAAACAGATCCTCACCTTCTTATCACTCAGAACCCAAAGTGCTCACACAAATATTTACAGACTCATCCCTGACAGTGGTACCTCCATCCTGGTCTAGTGGAAACTGTCTCTGCCCATGGCAGGGGGGCTGGAACTATATGATCTTTCAGGTTCCTTCCAACCCAAACCATTCTGTGATTCCTGCACTGAAGGGCCCCTGATTTTGGAATCCCTGCTCACAGGGATGGCAGTGCCACACCCTGCCATCGCCCCGCGGACGTGCACTGGCACCAGCCGGTGATTAAAGGAGCAAAAGAGGCTGGTTCCTTTCCTCAGCTCGTAAC